TCGAGACCCCTTTGAGTCCTAGGGAGACCGAGTATAAAGTCCATTGATAGGTCTTCCCATATGTTGTCGGGTATGGGCAGAGGGGTGTATAAACCTGTGTTTTGGGTAGTCCCTTTGTATGTTTGACATAGGAAACAGCGTGCAATGTAATTTGCTACATCCTTGCGTAGTTGTGGCCAAAAAAAATTGAACAGATAGTATCTCAAAGGTTTTGTCTCGTCCCAAATGGCCCGCTAAGCCCCCCGAGTGAGCATCTTTAATAAGAGCCTCTCGAAGAGACGTATGGGGTATGCAAAGAGCGTTGCCCTTAAATAAAAAACCATCCAGTAAATGATAGTCAGCGGCTGCTGTATTTGTTGTGCATTTGGTCCAAATGGGACCAAAATCGGAGTCTCCTTCGTAAGAATCAGGGAGATGTTCAAAGGCAATGATCTCCCCTTTTAGAAGTGTTAGTAAATTCCCCTTTCTACTCAAAGCATCTGCAGCTTTGTTAGTGATGCCAGATTTATGTTTAATAACAAATTCGAAACGTTGAAGAAAGGAAAGCCAACGAGCATGCATACGGCTAATAGATTTTTGTGTGTGCAGAAATTTAAGTGAGAAGTGATCCGTGAAAAGGACGAATTCGTTGTTCAAAAGGTAATGTTCCCATTGTTTCAAGGCCCCTAACTAAGGAATACAATTCTTGCTCATAGGTACTCCATTTTTGTCTAGATGGGCTTAGTTTTTCACTAAAATATTCTATGGGATGGTTATTTTGGGAAAGAACAGCTCCTATCCCGATTCCGGATGCATCTACAGCCACTTCAAATGGTTGGGTAAAATCGGGTAAAGTGAGAATGGGGCTAGTACTTAGTTTGTGTTTAATGAGGTTAAAGCTTTCGGTTTGGATTGTACCCCACGTGAATTGGCCTTTCTTGAGACAATTTGTGAGGGGGGCAACAATTGAACTGAAATTTCGGATAAATTTTCTGTAAAAAGAAGCAAGCCCCAAGAAACATTGCACATCCCTAATGGTTTTCGGTTCTGTCCAATTAGTGATAGCAGATACTTTTATAGGGTCCATTTTAACCTCATTGTGCCCTATAATAAACCCTAGAAATGATATTTCCGGTACTGCAAACTGACATTTTTTTTGGTTAATAGCTAAAGTATTGGCAGCTAGGGCAGAAAATAACAATCTAAGGTGTCCTAAATGGTCATGCATGGTTTGGCTATAGATAAGGATGTCATCAAAATACACCACAACAAATTTATTTATAAAGGGTTGAAGTACCTGATTCATAAGTCGCATGAAAGTGCTAGGCGCGTTAGATAGGCCAAAAGGCATGACAAGCCATTCAAACAAGCCTTCATTAGTCTTAAACGCCGTTTTCCACTCATCCCCCGGGCGGATGCGTATTTGATGGTAGCCGCTCCGAAGGTCAACCTTTGAGAAAATTGAAGCTCCCCCTAGTTGATCCAATAAGTCACTAATTCTAGGAATGGGAAAACGGTACCTGATCGTAATCTTATTAATGGCCCTGCTATCTACACACATTCGCCATGTGCCATCTTTTTTAGGAGTAAGGAGTGCAGGAACCGCACATGGACTAAGGCTTGGTTGAATGTGGCCTTTGTCCAACAAATCTTGAATTTGATCGTGGAGGATCTTGTATTCCGACGGGCTCATTCTGTAATGAGCCAAGTTAGGAAGTGTAACGCCTGGTAGAAAATCTATGTTGTGTTGTATGTCTCGAAGGGGTGGTAAACCCGTAGGTGTATCCACAATGGTTTTAAACTCATCAAGCAATAAGTGCACTTCAGGGAGAATGGGGTTGGTTAAATCCCCTGTATCAAAAGATTTTATAACCAACCCAAGAATAGGCATGTCTTTAGTAGCCAGTATCTCCTTTACCGAATGGATCGTGAATAATTGTCCTTTGGACTTGTTAGTATCGGTAAGAGCTAGTAATTTGGATGGAGTAAGAGGTAGTAAGACCACTTTCTTACCCATCCACATAAACTCATATGTATTATCCCTGCCTTTGTGTAATGCTTGAGTATCGTATTGCCAAGGCCTCCCTAAAAGAATATGGCATACATCCATCTCGAGCACATCGCACACAATTTGATCTTTATAGCTTGCTCCTATAGATAGAGGAATAGTACAAGTGTGGGTGACTTGAGCTTCCCCCCCTTTTTTTATCCATGTGACCTTATAAGGAGCCGGGTGGGGTGTTAAAGAAAGATTGAGGGCGGAAATAAGCTTGCTAGACACAATATTTTCAGTGCTGCCACTGTCAATAATGACAAGGCAGATTTTTCCATTGACAGTGCAACGTGTTTTGAACAGGGCATGACGTTGGTAAGCCGTCTCTGTTTTAGGTGTTAAGAGAAGGCGCTGGACCACGCATGAAACCAAATCTCCCTCATCCGGGCCCGTGTAATCCACCTCGTCAGTTCCATTCATGTCCTCCTCCTCGCTATCGATTCTTGGATCTTCATCGTTTAAGAAGGCAACAGCCTTCCGTTGGGGACATTCGTTTGAGAGATGACCAACTTGACCACACCTAAAGCATTTCCCTAAAGTGGGGCGGTTGTATGTGCCCACCGGTCGTTTACTTAAAGTGTTGTCGGTACCCTTACCTCCTTTTATCGCCTCAGAATCCAGCAACTTGCCTTTCGTCTCCATGGTTGTAGGAGCTTGCGCAGCACTCTGTTCTGTCGTAGAGAAAGGTTTTTTGGACGATCCCCCTGTTTGATCCCACGTACTGCGTCTT